GTTTAATAGTAAGTGTTGAACAATAATGGTAAGCCTATAGGGTTTAATAGTAAGTGTTGAACAATAATGGTAAGCCTATAGGGTTTAATAGTAAGTGTTGAACAATAATGGTAAGCCTATAGGGTTTAATAGTAAGTTTTGAACAATAATGGTAAGCCTATACGGTTTAATTGTAAGTGTTGAACAATAATGGTAAGCCTATAGGGTTTAATAGTAAGTCTTGAACAATAATGGTAAGCCTATAGGGTTTAATAGTAAGTGTTGAACAATAATGGTAAGCCTATAGAGTTTAATAGTAAGTGTTGAATGATAATAGGAAGTCTATAGGGTTTAATATTAAGCACTGAATAATAATGGTAAGCATATAGGGTTTAACACTAAGTGTTGAACAATAATTGGAAGCCTATAAGATTTAATAGCAATAATAGGAAGCCATTGATTAGAAACTATTAATAACAACTTAATTATTAACTCATTTGGTTTACATAGTTTCAATAATTGGCTTAGGCTTACCTTAACTGCTATTGATATTGTTTTTCAAAATAATTTTTGATTTTTTTTACCCATTTGTGTAATTTTCTTCCTTTTTTTCTCCCATTGTCTTTATTACCTAGATTTGTAAAAGTTACAGTGCTGGATGAGGTTCAACAGTAGTGGCTCTTATTTTTGGCAACTCAAATTTCTGTCAGTACTCAAACTAGCTTTGAAATAGATAGCTCCATAAAGTTTAGAAATTAATCTCATAGCTACATATTTTCACTGATTGACAATTCCAAGAACTTTGTGAGAACAAAGAACCATACAATATCTGCCACATCCAGTGCCAACAATCCTTTAGTCCAATACAACAGACATAATAGTGGCTTAGGTTCTATTTGTAACATCAATTGTTAATTGTTACAATGTAGTTGGTTACTTACACTAGTGATATGCTACCTAATATGTAACATGCATCAAATTTCTCCTGGTATTAACCATGCACTGAATAATCTTACTGAAAACATTTAAATACAACAATCTTATATTAGTAGTACTAGCAGAAAAACTTGATCTACGATTTAGTGATTATTTGAAAAACTGAATGTACTATGCTACCTCAGCCAATCAAAATGTTCCAAATATATCACCACAGATAAAACACAATAATCCAACTTTGTAAATTAGCATAATCTGAACAACTGAAATATATAAAGCACAAATATTTCTTTATAAGGCAACCAACAAAATCACTTTTAGTTACCTAGCTTCAAAAATAGAATAAAATTAATATGGATCAAACCAAATAATGTTTATTGCATCCTAACATCAACTTACCCACACAATACAATGTTTACTCTGAAAACACACAATATAATTTAAGGGCAACAAAGACATTGTAGGTCCATTTAGGTTTTTCCATCCACTAAACTTTAAAATCAAACACTCATAGACATCCTTTATCATTCAAACACTTATCAAGCCTTCCCTTAAACTAACTGCATCCACCACATCTGAAGGCAACCTGTTTCACACACCAATCACCCTGTTAAAAAAAATAAAAATATTCTAATTATTACTTAGTCAAATCTATAATCCTTCACATCCATGAACTCGTCTGATAAAATTTTAAAAGAATGAAAATTAATTGCATACACAATATACTCCATCATCAGGCAAGCATTTCCACAAATCTATATCTATGTTTCCAAAGTTATACCATTAATAGTTACTACCTCTAATAGTAACAATCACGTTTATATTTACATTCCAAAATTTTGACTTCATCACTCAGACAACTTTCATACCAGTACTACTATTAATATAATTTAAACCTCATAACAATTTGAATTCCTGAATTATGTCTTCGCCAATTCCCCCGTGCTTCAGAGAAAAGAAATCCAATTCCATGATGTTTTTTAATGGTCTGACTTTAACTCTAACTCTAAGCATCTCATAATAACATAAAATCTAAATGAGGAAGACTTTTTTGAAAATGAAATTGAAAGTCAAACCACGAATAGCTCAAAGTGTAATATTACTACTATTAGTAAAGCCTAAATGCTCGTTCGTCGATCTTTTCGGTACGTTAACTTTAGCATGATTATGAGATGTAATTATTTCATTATAAACACTAAAACAGTGTAAATTTAAGTTTAGCCTTTAGAATTAAGAGGTTAAAAAACGTGTTGAGACGCATCTTTATGTACTTAAGCCTAACTGACGTATCTCTGGTTGGTGTAAGGTTTTGTAAATTGTATCAAAGAAAAATCACCAAGTTGTAATTGCAAAAAAAATATGCAAAACTGTGTAACTAGTGAAACTAATAGAATAGATTAAATGGATTTTAAAACGTCGACACTCACCTCTTCTTCGGCACACAACACTTACTCCTAAAAAACTTCCGCAACCGCTAGGCAGGACTATGAAGACCTTCGAAAGATTTTGGCGCGGAGTACCTGTACTTTTTATTTTAAAAATAACAATATATTAAAGGTCACTTTTAATTTTTGCTATAATATCAACTAAATAATGATTAATTTCAAATAAAAGAGTACATTAGATGATTGATTGATATGTACATCTATGTTTATATATCAATGTTAATCGTCATGGTAATGACGTCACCTAGATAATCGTTTCGTCTGTACTATTTGAATGACGCCCACTTTAGCGGGTGTTTCAGTGAAGTGTTACACGTCGTTTTGCCGGTTAGTTTATCTAGTGTTTAAAGAGACAATTTGAAAGTGCGATCAGACAGTTTAAAAAGTAGAAAGTTGCGTTTTTATTTCGGTATATTCTACCAACAAGTGGTAGATCAGAAGATTAACATTTAGTATCATGGATTTCGTTTTCACGTGTGATTTTCATACCAACTTAAGTTAGAACTAGATATTTAGATGTTCGTGTCAGCTAGAATATCGGCTTGACTTTTGCGAGTTTTAAGAATACGAGTGAGCGCAAAGCCGTTTTAACTTACCAATATATTTTACTTCTTAGAAGTATTATATGCAAAATTTGGCTCTCGAACTATATTGTAACTTTTTATATCAAGTTCAGCTGTGCATATTATTACAAACTTCTTTGATTATTGTATAGAACATCGTACTAATTTTGTAGGAATATTTCATTTGGTGCTTATCGCTGACCGAGCTTTCCCAGCAGTAATGGTTTGAAAAGCTTTATTATAAAGTTCAAAGGTTTATGTTGTAGCGCAGTTGCTATACGCGTGTACCACAGATCCTTCAGGTGTCTTTTTTTTTTTTTTTTTTTCATGTGCGAAACCACAGCCAAGGGAACGGGCTTGGAAAAATCTTGTGGCCGAATAACCAAACATTTTCGTGACCTTGCGCTATTACAGTTATGGTGTCAGTGTATTTTTTGGTACAGTATTATTAATGAAAGAAATTTGTTTATTTTGCTGCAAATTGTACTACTTCGCAGAAAATTCTACATTTAATTTTAAGGTTGCTTATTTGCCTGGAGAAAATAATACAGAATATTTTATTGATTAAATGTTGTTGGGTAACAAACATTGAAATCAATATTTACTAATTTGAGTATAAAATAAACATAATTACAGTGAAGAAAGTTCTTTGATCTCTTGCTTTGAGCCATCTAGACACTTGTGCTTTGTATTAAGAACTGAATTCCTTAAGATGATAAAAGATAGACTTGGAGCTTTAAAAGCGGTAAGTTAAATAAAACAAATAGTGTAATTTTTTATATATTGGAATACTGCTGTAATTTATTTATTTAGTAAATTTCTAAGTGGATTTTTCTTTTATCTTTGGGATTTCCTAATGATTTATGATTATTTAGAAGTAAAATGTGTATGTTAAAATAAATTATTTCTGTTTTATATGCTTATATTATTAGTTGCATTGCATTGTTATTTTATATTGTTAATTTCATTATTACATTTATATGCAGATTTAAGATTACAATCTCTACTTGGTTTATTTTCACTGAAATTGTGACCACTATGTTCTATTTAAACCATATGGGAGTAAATATCCGAGTTCTTTGATTCTAAACGTAACCTCTTAAGTTGTGTATATTGAGTGTGTTTTTGGTAGTGTAAATCAAGACAGACCAAAAAGAAGATTGTTTTCATTGAACAAGTTTCTTAGATCTTTTGCTGACAACAATCTGCCACAAATGTTAGTACTTTGTTAGATGTTCAAGTTACATTGTTATTAAATCTGTGTTATTTAGTTTTGTGTAATAGCAAATGTAAATTGTAATTATTGAATTTGAAACACCTACAATTTAAGTTACGAGAGAGAAAACGTCTGGTGTATATGTATATTACTGCTAAATATAATCAAGGTTTTCTATTCACAAACAATATGCAATATTACAGTATTATATGAACATTAATTTTATTGCTGTCATAATCAAATGACATGCGTATGAGGAAATGTATTTATTTTTTTTCTTTCTAATATGTGTTATCTGATAAAGAAAACTTTTTATTTATTTTTGCTAGCAAATTTGCCTGGAGACATGTTGATTTATTTTAAGAATAATTTTTCAACTAATTTTATAATGGTAAGGATTTGTTTTGGTAACTTAATAAACTATATTTTATTATACAAAGACCAGATCTGTAAATATAATTTATGGTACAACAATTGTTATAACTTGAATAATGGTGGTGATGAAAATACAAGGAAACCATTGTTATTAAGTTTACTAACCAATTATTAAATCAAGAGATTATTTATGGAACTCTTGTGTGAAAGTTTTACACAGAAAATTGTTATATGATTTAATGCCCACAAATTGTAATTAATTTACATTCCAGACCCAGAGTGAAGATGATGAAACCCATAACTTGGTGTCTATTGAAATAGAGCCTATTGATGGTGTGTTGGGAGAATTTTTTAAAGAGGTGAGATTTGATTATTTTAATTAGATGTACACTAACTACATTATGGAAAGCAGGGGATGCATAACATGGACAAGTGAGATTTGATTATTTTAATTAGATGTACACTAACTACATTATGGAAAGCAGGGGATGCATAACATGGACAAGTGAGATTTCAGAAGTTCATCTTTCTCCTCATCAAAACAACCAATGTAAATTAGACACAATCCTTCATATTCATATATATGGATATATAAGTTACCTGTTGCATTCTTTGCCTGGAGAAATAAATTTATTTTTCTCATAGATTGGAGGGTTAATTAAATATTTTGAAAATTGAGTATTATGTTATTAAAGTTGTGTCATTGGTATTTTTTGCTTCTCTGAAATAACTTATTGTAAGGCTAACTTTTCTTATAAAGCATATGCAATAGATAGTCTTCGGCATTTGAGAAGCTTTATCGAAGGTGTTATTACTAATTTTTGATGATTTGTTAAACTTGCAAATTTAGCAGAACTGTTATGACAAAATAGAATGAAATGATAACAGTAACATCTACTTCTAAGTTTTACTTCTTAGCCAAGGTGTAAAATAACAAACAATAAAGAAAAAGAACTGGGAAAAATTCTAGGTAATAAGACCAATTGATAATCAGTTGTGTATTATTTGATAAACTTCATAACAACTTAATAATGGTGTCGAGGTAGTTTAATAAAACCTATTTTTCATTTGTTTCTTTTTTTTTAATTTTACAAGTCACAAACTATTTTTGTTTAATTGATGTACTGTGCAACATCTTGAAAACAAATCTGAAATGGATGCTTTTTGAAATGTTGTGTAGTGATTTTATTATTATAATAGTAATAATCTGTGCAAAATAAGATAGCTACAAATTTAGCAAAAGTATAATTATAGAAATTATTAAAAGTAGATGCACATTTATAGCAAAATGTATTGTATTTAGATATGTAATAATATGAATAAGTAACTGGATATCATACTTGCAAAAAGAAAATCATACACATTAGTAGTTTTTTGTTCTGCTTTTTTTATTCTTTGCAATTAGCTTCACTTTAGATAATAATGAGTTTGATACAAATGTTGCTTCATTGTTATTGAATGTTCATTTAATTAACATTTAAACAGAAATAAAATAATGCATACAACTAGCATTAAGAAATTTTGCACTGTTATTTTAGTGTTGTTTCTTCTGAAGCAGTATTTACTAACCATCAATGATATGAAATGCTCAATTGCATCTAAGGACAAGCTTTACTACACTTAGATGTGTTATCTAACTATTTCAAAGAAAGATTGTGAATTTTTATATTGTTCACAAAGATCTATTAGTCATTTCAATTGGAGAGTGTGTAAGGTTTTTCATTCTTATGTGATAGATACAAAAACAGCTTGTATTTAATATCTACCTACATAGTGCATATAACAAACAAAACTATCAGTTATTGAAATGAGTATTACTATTTTATTACTTGGCCATTCTTCAGTTTAAAAACCAATGTCAAAATTTAAAAGTAGAGATTCTTCTTTTGCCAAAATAAAAAGGCTTTAGTTACATTTCTTAATAGTATAAATATATATATTATGTTGTTGTTGGGCTTAGGATTCTTCTACAGTAGGTGTGTGTGACTTGTTAGCTATAAATTCAACGATGAATAAACAGCACGCACTATACTTGTTTTAAAAATAATATACATATTCAGAACAATTTAACGTATGTACAAGAAATTCTTCAACACTATAGATGTTATAGACATATCATAAATACTATATATGTAGTTCTCTCCTTCTTGTCAAATATCCACTTTGGCCCATTCAATTACTTTAGAATTTCAGTTAACAAGCCAAACTATCTTCTTTATTTCTATCGCACTAGTATTCTCTATGATTCGCTTACAATTGTGGCGCGAGTACCGTGATCGTTTGGTCTTCTTTCTTCTGAAGGTCCTCTGTTCCTTTTGTCCAAGTGCACTCAGGCTGATTCAGTTACTTTAGAACCACGCTTTGACGGAATGAAATTATTTTCTTATCTTTTTTCTACTGTTAGTTTCACTCTAATATAATAAACGTTAGGCCTATCACATCTACGGTACTTAACTTCACGCCAATTTTATTCTCTTTCGCTATTGTCTGTTTGCTGCTTCCCCCTCGTCTCACGCTATTTATGTCACCTAATCGTCTGTCCACCTTCTATATTCTCCGCGTCAGTGTATTGCACGTGACGTTTGATATTATTAACAAAACTTCCTATAAATCATCTGCTTTTAACTCTTATTAAAACAATAACATAACATTCACTCACAAAACTAAATTAATCAATACTATCTGAACGAAATAGTATTTTATATCATGACAACCAACAATATGTTAAAACATCCTCACTTATTGCTGTTTCACTCAAAACTTTCTATGTATCATAAAAAGCTTGACTTTGGTATTAGGGTATTATTTAATATAATATATTAATAATAATATAATATATAAAAAGCAATAAATTTTCAAATAATACTGAAAAACATTTTAGTTACCCAGTATATTTCTTATCAGTATCAATCTTTGAAGCATTAAAAGT